TGTTGGCTGCTACAACCCAAAATTATACAGTTTCATAGGACGTAATGTTAACTTGGAATCACCTCTTCTCATATTCTCAATACAATCCATTTACCTGTTGTTTATTGTTTTCCTTTCAGATCAACCACCCAGATATTCCGTGGAAGATGAATTGGCCCTACAGCCTGTGAATGCTCGGCCCGAGAATGGCTCAAAAGTTTGCACAATATTATAATTATGTTATTTTCTAGTTCAAAGAGTAATACCAAATATGTTGCATTTGTTTATTTATAAATCAGAGAACATTAATAAAAATTTTGCAAAGGTCGCAAACCAAACACGAGGGCAAGTTGATAAATAAATCCATTTACCTGTAAGTATTTCCGGGTAACTTAAATTGAATAATTTTATTTCTCAATTGTTTCACTTCACTTTTGATGGATTATTTTTACGCGATGCTATATAAAAATTTAATAAATATGTAGAAAACACAAAAATCAATCTTTCCACCGGGCAAAACAAAACAAGAAACAAACAAACAGGGTTACCATACTCCGATTTGCAACAACGAATAGAGGGAAGAGGCAACACAACGAATACGTACAAATGGAAAAGGCAACATGCCGGAACAGCTGTTCGGTTGTAAACAATAATTTGCTTCTTCTTTCTCTGTAATGCTTTCTTATTTGATATCTTTTTATCTTTTTGGAGAAATATAACATTGAGAGAGGGAGACTTGCGAATGAAGAAAGATGTCAGATATTTTTTTATAATGGAATAGGCAGGTTGCATGGTAGAAGTAATAGGAAGACGCATCGACACAGCTGTTGGTACAATGAACTGTCAAACCAATTTTGGAATTGAAAATGTTGAATGAAAAATTATTTAAATTTGTAAAAATTGTTGAAAAACGCGAATTATAATAGCCTCCGAATGACGTAGTATAAGAAAACATATAAAGATCTACTTATATTTGAAAAAAACATTTAAATTTTTTGACATATCAATGCTCCCAAGCGTTGATGCATCTACCTGTATTCTTCTGCCATGGCAGGTTGACAGAAACTTCATATTACACGCGTAGGATAAAAATATTACACATTTGTGGAAAAAGTACACAGTTATCAACATTTTTAATTTAAAAAATTACTCTACTCTTTTTTTTAACATTTCTTTTGGTATGAATTCTTGTTCTATGAATATATGAAATGAAAAATATTTCCTTCATAATATTTTTCATTTGACATTTCTTTCCTCTATAAAAGTTTTCATTTCACATTTTCATAGAACAAGAATCGAGACCCAGAGCATGGTAGAATTAAAAATATGATGTCACGCAATCATATGGTCCAATTTTTTTAAAATTGTTCTTTGACAACATCTCATTGTCAAAATGAATTGTTATAAATCCATTGTACATACACAAGTCAGAGATGGCAACCTGCTTTCTGCATTGAAATTTTACAAGGTTAATTACTGAATATGTAAAGATGGGAATGCTTATTTGAAATTTGACTTAACCTTCTTAATTTTACCATGATCCAGAGTGTGGCCGTATATTCTTACTTATACCTTCTTTTGTAAATAAAATCGCTCATAGTATTCTTGAATTAAATAAATTGCTAAATTTTGAGAATTGAAGGTTTAAATAAAGTGTTTTAAGCATGGTACAACAAAGAGGTAGAACAGCTTCGTAAAACTACAGAAATACAGCTCTGAAGCTATGCCCACTTCCTGTCAGAATTATTCAAAATTATATCAACAAGTTGTTTGCATTTATTTCACATTTTTTCCTCATTTTTGAAATGACTTAAATAAAGCAAAAGATGATTGAAGTGCCTGGATTTTATATCAAAAATATGATCAGACGAAATGGGTTTTACCACGGTAAAAGTAAGAAGGTAAAGTCATTTCAAATAAGCATTCCCAGTTCTGCATTTTCTGTCAATTAACTTCCAAACTACAAGGCATATGTAACTGGTTCCTATCTCTCAATTGTGTGCATACCACGGATTTCTAAATATAAAAGTTGACAATAAGATGTTGTCAAATGAATAAGTTTGAAAAGTTTGTAGACATATGATTGCATTTTCCTTCTTAATTCTACCATGGGTTTTACATATGTGCTGTCACTTTTATTTTCCATGTGTATATCACACTAGATGTTGTATTTTAAAGAAATATATAACTAACACATGATAAATTGTCACAGATAATTTATTTTTTTTTAAATTTTTACACAACAAAAAAAAACAACACTTTTAATTGAGTTTTATATTTTTATGTTTTATGTATTCCACAACTGAAGTGTCGTCTATGCTTCACACGATATGTGCAATTTCTACATGTGGAAATTTGACATTACATATGTAAATAACATTACAACTGATAGGGCCTTAAAGTCAGCGACCAAAATAAAGAATTCGCAGAATCCTATCCATGGCAACAGTGCCGTCAAACTTTGATTTAAATTTTTTATACATAATTTTGAGTTTTAATTTTATAGATATTTTTTGGTAACTCAACAAAAAATGAGTTAGAGCAAATGAGAAAAAACTATTTTATTTCCTTATACGGACGTAAAAAATATTTTTCAATAGTGAGGAAGTTGAATATTTGTGTACGCTACGTCGAATTTTAGGTAACGCTCCAAAACAAAAAAAGTTAGTTGGTCTGTTCCTGAACCTGCGAGATTCTACTAGTTTTGCAATTTTCTCCGGTGTCATTGAGGGAGAATCGGTTATCGTAGTAAAAACTTTTACATTCATCAATTCTTAAAGCGTCATCATTAGGTAGATTTTAAGATGTGGACCTGGCATATTTGGGTATTACGGATGTACAAACATTTTACCGTAGTACGAAAGTTGCATATTTGTACGTTAACGCTTCGTTGAATTTTAAGTAACGCGGTCAAAGATGAAGCAAGCACTCAATTGATAATTTTGAAAATGCGAATCTCCCTAGCATTAAATTGAGCAGCCAATGTGAATTGATAATTCCAACTCACATTCAATCACTCTGAAATAGGTACCCTCCCTTCATCTTACACTACTATTTTTTACATCACAACAGACATATTGAACACAGCTACCGCTGAACTGTCAAAACGGGTCTGAACTGAATTGTAACATCAAGAAAAAAGCAAATACACTTTTTTCCTAACCGACCGACCTCAACAATTTAAAAGAAGTTTAGTTTAAATCAAAACAATACTTTTGATATACAATTAAGTTTTTATGTTAACATTGAAACATTTCTGAAAAAGGTGACTGATTGGAAACCATAAAAGCAAAGCTTTGAACGTTGAAAGGATTGCGTTGCTGCACACTGCAAGGAAAGAGAAAGGAATGTGAAAAGAGAAACGTTGACGACGACGACGGGAATAAAGGTGTTTGAATGAAGAACCAATTGCCTGAAAAAATGCATTGAAATTTAGGAAAGCACACACCGAAATTCCTTTGATTCATAACGAGTTTCGAAAGGTTTTCGCCTCAATTCAACTACACATTCAAAACAGGGAAGGAAAACTGGTGGAACTGCCTCGCCACATTACACAAAAAAACGAACGAAGCCAACTGGCAGGCAGACAGAGGTAAGGTAGGTCAAAGTTGAAACGGGCAATAAGTGAAAAATCGAGTGAGCACTGAGCTGCTGCTGCTATGGTGTGTCGTTTGTGCGTGCGTGTGCTTTCAAGAAAAGAAAAAGTGAAAATATTTGCACGGGTGTGACGTGACAACTCTATAGACGTAATCGTTGTAATGTTCGTAGACCGACCATTAATCGAAATGAGAAGTGTTCATTGAAATCCGCGACAAATCAAACGCAAAATATCGTGTCTGAAATCCGCATATAGAAATATGAAAAGGTCTAACCTCAAAAAAACAACAATGTTTGTGTTGTGGAAATAATCAACAGAACAAATGAACTGGTTCACAAAACACGGAAGAGACTGAGTGAGACTGCTGGCTGCTAACAAAACAAGCATTGTGCGATGGTGTCGGTGTGGTGTCTGTGCTGCTGTGCCGTGCCGTTAAATAAGAGGCACCAAAGTCAGTCGTCTACTCAAAGGCGAAGATAACAAGCGAGAGACGAAAAAGTGGAAATTCATGTTTTCTTCAATGAAAATTCAATTCAAGTAAAGTGTGCTTTAAACTGCATTTACAGAACATTCCACGAATGCTTATCCCAAATCTGCCAATATCATTTATTCGCCACCCAGACCCTGAGCTCAATAGAGAAACTTTCGCCGTGTTATAAGAGAAAAAGACACACGACATAGTTTAGGATGGATGGCTGGCTGGATGGACTGCTTAAATTGTGGCCATTATTTTAGCTGGCAGGCAACAGTCTGCCAGTCGTTCCGTCCATTCATTTTAAGGCAGCCTGCAAGTTGCTCGCTTTCCTCTGTGTAATCTGTGTATTGACAATCTGTTCCTCTTTTTGACAAAAATATACATACGTAAATTAACGAGCGAGCGAACACATGTAACGCACGTAAGAAGCGAAAAAGTCATTTCGAAAAATCAACACGGCCCAACTCGATCCGATCGGCTCGTGTTAAACTTGTCAAGTGGTTGGTTGGTTAGTGCTGTGGGGTGTGAGAGAGACATTGAATGTCGTTGGGTAAGAGGTAAAGATGAAGGTGTGCGGAGCGGCGGAGGAGGTAGTAATGTGTTTGTCGTTTTTGAGAGGGGGCTAAAGGGAGGTGAAAGTTATTTTTCATAGTCTTCGCGCACAAACAATTCAACTTTGGTTGGTGGCAGTGGCTCTGTAACAAGAAAAAAGAAAACAAAACACGTTGGCATAATCGGAAAATCTTAAAACTTACAATTCACCATTAGTGTGTTCTACATTAAGGTATACGACAGTGTTTTCCATTTTAAAACCAAAAACAATTTGCTAACATAACCGGCTATGTGTTCCCTCGCTTTTTACCAACCGTCTTAATAAAAAAGACCGCGTTAATCGCCTAATTTCTCGAACAGCTATAACCAGACACATGGTCGCGCCAGCTGATATTTTTTCCTTGCATGATTTTGCCTTGAAATTCTCTAACCTCTCAAAGTTTGTGCTTGAAAACAGTGGAAATAAAAAATAAAACACAAATATGCACAGCGACAGGTGCTATTCGTCCTAATATCGTCTACGTTTGTTATTGATTATGGGTTTTTCAAAAAATTTCTAAAAGAAATTTCTTTCAAGACTTTGCATAAATTTCCAATGTGATTTGTGTGAGAGCAAAGAGAACAAAAAAAAACGTAGAGTAACTTACCGAAGTGTCAAAATTCGAAGAGAAAAAGAGCGGGAGAAATTATGATCGATCAAATCTATGGGAGAGCAACAACAAAAACGTGTTTTCTTACAATGCATGGTTGTATTTTAGTGTAGTAGTGACTACCATACAAGTATTTTCTTGGTATTTTTCTGTGTCGCGCGAAATATAAAAACAAAAAAGGAAAAACTATTCGTCCTCAAAACAATCCCTGAATTGCTTTTGATATAAGAATCAAAAACTTTTTTAAATGTAAAGAAACTAGCATTTAAATCGTCCTCGTTCTCTCAAGCAATAAATGTAAGCAATGTGGCTGATCTGTGTGATGTAGTCCTGTTTAATCATGTGCCACGGCTTTGGAAAGTATGAAATTGGCTTATATCGCCGGATTTTCTAAGATTTGGCCAAATTATACAAATTTATCCACGGTGAACATTGCCAAATAATCATACAACTGATCGTACATATAAAAGTATAAATAATTCATGGAATAATATAATTCATGGAAGATTGTAAGGATCATATTTCGGCTTATATGGGCTGGACCTAGTTATATGAGCTGGACGTAGTTACAACTGTGACAGCCTTGACAAATGATAAGTACTTTTTTCTGGTAAAAAGGTTATAATATTCTAATCAATAGGGATATAAGTGTCTGCACATTCATTTTTTCTGAGTAGAGTTATCAGATACAATTTTTTTTCGGTACAATGGCACCAGCCTACAATCATGTCATTCTTTGGAACTCTAAAGCAGTGATGTCCAAAATCTTGTTTTCAGTAGTAGGTATCTAGTGGTTGGGGACTGTTTCTCATACTAAACTACGGCAGATGAAAACAAAAGAGAGAATACTTGTGGGTTGGTTTGTACTCCCTAAAGTCTTATAAATATGATGAAGGTATAAAGTTATGATTACCTTTTGTGAACATTTGATCAGAGCTGAAAATGACATAATTCTTATTATATTGGACAATTGATTGTTACTTTGATTCAATAGATGGCGTTCGTAGTAGACAAATATGTTATGTCACCATATCTTTTGTAATAATTTAAATATATAGATATGACAAGAATAGTTTTGTTAATATATCTATTACAAAAATGTGTATCAGCTAAAACGGATTTTTAGTTAGTATATTAATAAATATAGTGTTCTTTTTTCACACAAATAATCATATATTTTCCATTTCCTTTTCATTTGCAGGTGACATTTTCCTATACAATTTGCTAGTGTTGCCAGGACTGATGAACTCCGTCCTACAAACAACAACATTGATGGCAAAATTTTCCGAAAAACGTGATAATTGATATCTAAAATCTGTGAAACGGAGAGAATAATCCAACAATTAACTGATAGCTGCATCCATCACTTAACTTCTAAATGAACGACCAGGCCTATGAGCTTCTAAAGTGAATAGGTCGAGTCACAAAACCGGAAACAGATAGCTGTAATTTTTAGAAGACCAACAAAACAACTTACCAACCAACCAACCATAAAGTTATTCAATAATTTTTTGGTAATTAGGTAATACTTCTTTGTACACTTTTCTGCAAGAGAAGAAAGACAACGCAGCATTCCTAGAATGCATATAAAAAGTCTGCAACATGCTCATGCTGCTGCAGCAGCGGCAGCGGCAATGCCAAACTGTGAAATTGTAATTGTATCATCGTCGCCTAATCATAATAATAACAACAACAATAATAACAATAACAATGAAAGTACAAATGGAACATCCAGCAATGGTAGCGGAGGCGGCAGTGGAACCGGCGGTGGTGGAGGCGGTGCCCACAACAACAATCATCATCAGCAGGGTCCAACGACTGCTGCACCAACGGAAATTCCAATACCATTTATGCATTTGGCAGGAGTAAGTGCTGAGGCACACGCGGCCGCCCAAGCAGCAGCCATGGCAGCGGCCCAGGCCGCAGCCGCTCAAGCTGCGGCAGCTGAACATCAAAACGGTGGGAATGGACCTGCACCTGGCAGTGCTTTGGCCCACCATCATGCCATACTGCAGCAACATCCATTGGCTCATTTGGTGGCCACCGCTGCACACAGTCCTGCACTATCGGAACAACATTTTATTGCCCGCGATGCTACCGTCTTGACCAACGGCCACAATGGCAGTTCAACGCCCGTATCGGCTGGAGGTCCGGCACCGGAAAAGCCATTTCAGTGTAATGTCTGCGAACGGCGATTCCGGCAACTGAGCACACTAACCAATCATGTGAAAATTCACACTGGAGAAAAACCGTACAAATGCAATGTTTGTGATAAAACATTTCGTCAATCGTCCACACTAACAAACCATTTGAAAATACATACCGGAGAGAAACCGTTTAATTGTACCTATTGCCCGAAACATTTTCGTCAATTGAGTACGCTAACAAATCATTTGAAAATTCATACAGGTTAGTTAAATTGTTCATTCTTCTGAATTTAAACCCGATGTTAATTTTAAGTAGATAACAGGGAATGTATTTGCCTTTCACTATTTTTAATTCGAATACTGTCTGAAGTACTCAAGTATTTTTTCTGAGTGAGCACGACTTCTGCCAATCTTGTGTTTGTATTTGTTTTTAAAATAAAACAAACCCTTTTTAAAATCAGTTATTAGAAGAAAAGTACATTGCGTGGCGCGAATAAAGGATATTGACCGTGGCAATAAAATATTGAACATTTTGGATAATATTTTTAAAAGATAATCCAGGCATATCATTCATCTCTGGTGCTTTATAGTACATTTTAAAAATGAGAGAATGCCCTAATAAAATTGCAATTTATTCTCATGTTTTTATTAAATATTAATTTGAACAGGATTTTATATTACATATATATCATATTAGTTTTTAATTTAATTTTTATTTTAATTTAAAGCCTTTCCACTAGCTCTTGTTTGAAATTGTCTAATCTGTATTTTCTATTCGCTTCCTTGCAGGTGAAAAACCTTTTGAATGTGCCGTTTGTAAAAAACAATTCCGTCAATCTAGTACTCTTAATAACCATATAAAAATCCATGTAATGGACAAAGTCTATGTTCCCGTCAAGATTAAAACCGAGGAAGAGGAGGGATGACTAGAGGATATGATGGTGGTTGCTACTGAAGCTACATCCAATGGGCTTCAACAACAACAACATCATCAGCAACAACAACAGCAGCAGCAGCAGCAACAACAACAGCAGCAAGCACTCGCTCAACAACAGCAACAACACCAGCAACAGCATCAACAACAACAGCAACACACACGTCAAATTATTACCTCTACCTTAGCACAACACCAACAACAATTGCAAAACAACAACACAACCATAATAGCGACACATGCAGCCAATGGTGGCTCTTCGGCTGCCAACGCTGCTGCGACAGCAACAATAGCTGCAGCACCGTCCAATCTTGAAGCGTTTTCCAATATTGCAACAGCAGCTCAAACACTCGAATTAAGTTCCATAAATGCCGCTCAATTAGTGGGTGGCCATTTAACAGCCAATGGTGATTTTGTAACTATGGGTGGTGTGGTCGTCGGACGCATACATCCAGCACCTGGTGGCGGTGGTGCGTTTTTGCAACATCAATTGCGAATACAAACCCCCCACTTGGGTGTTATTAAAATGGAACCATCACCCCACTCCACAGAATACAATAGTAATAGTAACAACAACAATGCCAATAATACAACGAGACATGCCAATACGGCAAATGAAGGATGAGTCCCCGACTATGAGACACTACTGGAATATGTGCTCAACGAAGATGACAAATGGGTAGAAATCAACGGCAATTTTGTTATGGACTCTTCCAAATAAATATAGCCCAAACAGAGATACAATTTACGATAAATGTAAATCCAATTTATTGCAAAAATATGCAGTATCGAAAGGTCGTGTATTATTATGTTATATTGTTGTCACAAAACCAGAAAAAATATCATTATTGTTGTTAGTTGTTGTTATTTAATACCACACAAGAAGAAGCTGAAAAAAAGTATTTCTTTTCAAAAAAGGGAAACCCGAAAAAATAAACATCCAAGAACGAACATGAATGTAAATTAAGAAAAACTAAAGAAGAAACTAGTTATTGTTAAACAAAACTAAGAAGCCGAAACGATAATACTGTACAACAAACATCCTTGCTCCAATAGTCTTCATTTTTGACAGTTTCAGAGTTACCGCTTGCTGCTCCTACTCCTTCAATTCCTCCTTGCTGTTGACTGGCTATAAGAAACGGTAGCAACCAAACCATCTCCTCTAAGCATCATAATTTGTAGTGAAAATAAACTGAATGAAATAAAACTACAAACAACAAGTCTACACAATGAATCCTATCAAATACAAATTAGTAGAACACTATAAGTAATCAATAATTTACAAAACAAAACTAAAGAAAACCACATCCCTGAACTAATTGTCTTGTATAGGTAATAAAGTTGTTTTAATTTTTAAATATACGTACTTTTTAGTTTATTTTTATCCTCTTAAACTGTATCATTTTTTTTTTAGTAAAATTTCTTATTTTGAAAACAAGTCTTTTATTTAAAGTTAAGAGGACAAATCACACCTATGTTTGTTAAACAAATTTTGAACAATTGTAATTTTTTACAAACAAGAAAAGAAATGAATCAGGAAACACACGCAACAAGCACATAGAAACAAGCAAAAATCATTAATCAAAAATAAATAGTTCTAAACAAAATAAAGCAACAGTAATGAGGTGGACATGTGCTATGCAAGTAGAAATGGGTTGAGGATGTTTGAAGGTTGGATACTTTTAAGAGACTAATTCCCGCTCATGGGGTAGTTTTTTTTTTTTTAATTAATAAGTTGTATTAAAAAAAATGGAAATAACTAACTAAAATATTATTAGTTTGAGAATAACAACTCCAATACAGTAATGTTTTGAATCGCTTGCTTACGAAACATAAATCGAATTTGTTATTTCCAAGGATTTTTTTCGTGTGCGGAAAAATGTCCATTGCTTTGGAGGTGATGATTAGCATTTTTCATTTCCATTGGCTCACCTAATGGTCGACTCTAAATACCCACAACTTTTAATAGAAAAGAAAATAATTCTTTTTTTATGGCAGCGTTCGGAAATTTTTATAATTTTGTATGTTTAGTTTTATTTATTATTGAAGTATAGATATTGAAGACATTTAAATATTATTGTTTAAAAATTTCAAATGTTCATCACCCAATCCTACTTGCATAATGACTTCATAATAATGACTTTGTTTCAACTCAATAAAATATTACAACTTGTTTATTTAAGTTATTTGTTAAGTTTTAAATGTTAATTAACAAGAAAACACAACAAAAACCATGAACGTGAAGAAATCTACTATTAGTTTGTAAATTTTCTTTAAGAAATACACACAAAAGATAAAAAAACTAAACATTACCTTTACATTTATTTGGAGCATTTTTCTTTCAAAAGAAATCACACAGATACTGGCCATATTTATTCAATATCCCTCGTGTCAAATGGATCTGATAATAGGCTGGATTAAAGTACTGTGTTATGGGATTTACTTTTAAAAAGAATTTAAAATTTTGCAAGGCATTGCATATAACTATGGTCAGATAGGTTAGCCTTATAACAAATTATAGGTTTATTTAATTTAAAGGGAAGACATTAGAGAAATAAAAAATACAATTAATAAAACATTTTCCATATATACCACAAACAATATTTTAAATTTAGTGAACTATTTTATTGGGTATGTGAAGGAACCCGTTGAAAATTTTTGAAAAATGATTACAAATGTATATGCCGTCCAAACATTCATTTTAAATACCACTATTCCAGATGATATACAATTCTCCAATCAGGAATTCTCACATTAAAATATTCAGGACAGAAAGATTGTCTTTGGGCGATGGATGAGCAAATGACACTGTTTCACATCCACATCGCTTCTTACTAATGAATTCACATTTTTCCCGAAGTTTCTGTATCAAATGCTTTAGCATTCTTTTGTAATTTCGTATTGGTTCGTTGGGTGGGAAACTTTCTCAAGACAAAAGAATTATAATTGATAAAAAACACATCAAGGATGGACCCAAATGGGTCCAAAATTGTATTGTTAATTTCATAAATCTTCAACAATTTTGTGCGGGCCCTAAAGGCAACAAGTTATTAATCACACACAGTCAATACACATCCTAATACACAATGAATTGAAAAACAAATTTTTTAAAAATAAATTATGTATAGTTTCACAGTAACGAATCATTATTTAAATCTTAAGTTAATTTATAAATAAAAATTTAAAAAACACTTTTATTTCCTAATTGTTTCTTTTAAACTATACTATTACAATTTAATTTAAGCATATAACTAAGAAATTATCTAGTTATACGTTTTAGGACAAAAAAAAGGAGAAATAAAATATAAATATTTTTCATGCTTTTAAAGAAATGAAAAATAAAAACTGAAAGTCTATTAGTAAGTAAGAATTAGTTTATAATGTACACAATACACAGAAACTCCCAACAGACATACACACACACACACAGTCTATATTGTTATTGTATTATAAATTGTTAGACAAATTTTATTGATACTTAAGTTACAATGATTTGTTTCTGAAAAAAAAAACTTTTTTCTTTCATTTCCTTTGTTTATATAATTAATAATAAAACTCATATTTCTGTTTGATTGAAAAAGAAACATTTAACTACATTCATTTAAAAAATTGAATTTATTCCACACGTTAGAATTTGTCATATTTTTGCGGGAATTTCTTTCTTTGCCGGAGACCATTACGACTTGATGAGAATTGTGAAAATCCTTCCAGCGCTTCTTGACTTATAAGCAGAATAACTAGGATCTATTTCTTTTACATATATGTTGTACCTATTTTGCTACATATCTGATATCATGACTATTAGCATTACTATAATGGTCAGAAATAACCTTTTGATGTATTTGTGATTTGGCCAGGATTGAAAATTTTTGAGGTTTAGTGGAAATTTTCGTATTTTTTACTTAGAAATTATGGCTTATTTTACCTGCTAAATATTGTACGTTTATTCTGACCAGCCCTACACTCTAACTCCATGCAAATTTCCGCGTCGATTGGTTCATAATTATGGCCTATAGAGCTACTGCCAAAACCATTCAATCCCTAAATATAACCCTAACCCCATCTCCATTTTCAATTTCGTCAGGATCGGGCCACAATTGCGACCTGTAGAGTCATTACAAATTAGCATGGAAAGACGGACAGACTTACATAGCTAGATCGACTCAGCTCGCGTGATAGGAAGATCCGCATATAGATCCTATGCCGGAAACCATTATTTCGAGGCGTTACATAATTTTTGGCCCAATCAAACTTACAACACCCAACACATAGTGTTGTAGGGTACAATTATAATATATTAATACAGAATGAAACGCCAATATTTCTTGAAGAGTTTCAGAATCGATTATCAATCTCACTTTTTAATAAATTACTGATTTTTTTTGCAACTTCAATATTTTCAACTGTTATCCAAATCGAGTTTACTACGAGTAGATAACACACAAATTTTAGTCTATCTTAGAATTTAATCAGAATATTCACCGACTTATTGTGACGTATCGGAGTATAATTTAAAAAAGGTTCAGAATAGGGGCCTATTGTTGTAAATCATTGCCACGGAATTTGTCTTTGCTAAGTGGTCCAATTATATATCCCAATATCTTGGGGGATTCGTTCTTTCTAATCCAAAGGGTTTCAGATCTACAGAAACTACGGGTATTACATACCCGTATTACATACTACGTTGCACTGTAGCCTTTGCTTATTTGTTTTGTGTAGGTATATCAGTAAAAGGGCGGATCCTAAATATAATGTTAGAAATATTTAATAATATTAATATTTAAATGAAGTTTGCCTATGAAAGTTATGATTGTTCGATAAAAGGATGTGGGTCGATATTGTAAATGTTTAGGATTGTATGGGAATTACTTCAAAGAGTGAATATACATATCCCACCCTGACGCTAGATGTAAACTCTATAAAAATAGAAGAATTTACAGAGTTTTAAGAAAATTGAAAAATATTTCGCATTTTAAGAGATTTATGATGATTACTAAATGTTGGCCCTTTGTGAAATAGGTCATAGAAGAAATGGACAGAAATTGTTAATTTTCTTTCATTTCTAAGTGTCTAAGATACAAATATAACAATGTTCAGCACACGGTCTAAATTGAACAATCCCTTAGATTTCTATAAAATATTTTATTTTTTCAAAGCTTTGACCTTTTGTGTGTGAATTACCAAAAGGTAGTTACCTTTTACCTTTCATAAAAAACTAAGAACTAAAAATGTTGGCGGAATACTTCGTATAAGAAAAATATCGTGTGTTCCGTGAGCTAGATTTCATCCAAAGAGACATATGTTCTTAAAGCGCTATTTCGATCAGGTACAGGCCGTATCCTTTGACTTAGGATATGTATACAGTATAATTCAAGAGTTTTAGAAGTGCTAGATTTGATGGAGTCCGACAGATAATTATTTGATTTAAATTAAAATCAATATTTCTATCATGGTACAATGAAATCAAGGTAGGACACAGCTAACAATCGATTTTAATTTTTTTTATTTGATTGGCTTGACATGTCTCAACAATTATATAAATATGGTTTAGAAAATTCAATTACAATCAAATCCTTGTAACGATTTCCTTTATTGTGAAGAAATAAATCTTTAGAGATATATAGAACATGATTTTGAAAAGAAATCTTGATCTTTCATTCAATTGTTCCTATTTTTTGTTTGGTAAAATACAAATTGTTTGTATTTATTGTAATAGTTATTCTGACCTTAAAATCCATATGGATAGGTTTCATTACTCCCAACTTACTCTAACTTATTCTACGTTGTCTTTATTGTACTATGATTCAAATATAAATGTGTGCCAGAATTTAAAGAAGTTCCTAGTTACTTAAGGTGCAGAAGGATATTTAGATTCATTTTTAAACTTAAAGAAATCGGTACTTTTAACAATTGTGTTTAAAATTCGAAATACATTAAAATAGTTTTTTTTTTTTTCAATAATTTATTTTTTTGAAGCCTATTTTGCCATATCGTCAAAAAGTCAAATATAATTCCATATGTTTTGTTTGAAATCGAATTATTTTCCGTTTGTTTTCCCCTTAATTTTGAATAACTGTATTCATTTAAAAAAAATCAAATCCTAACTCAATGTATACGAATAAAAACTAAGAAGGAAACCGAAACACAAAACTAAGCTACAAATCAATATTAAATGTTGTTCCATTATATACACATGCATATATTTGAAATATATAATGAAAAAAAATAAGAAGAACAAAACTACAGGTATATTATAAAAAGAGAAGAAAAATAAAACAAACAGATACATATTCAAAAAAATAAAATTATATTACATTAAAAAATCGCTTAAATTTTATGTTTGTAATTAATAAAAATAATAATAAATGATTAATTAGAGGATGAAGCATTTAAATTGAAAAGCTATTACATTTATAGTTATGTACACATAAACATTATTTAACCAAACGATAGCGATAAATAAATAAACAACATTTCGCATGTTTTATATATCTTTCTCGGTCGAATTGGTGCCTATAAAAGGCATTTGATCGAATAGGTGCCTATAAAAGGCATTGTATAATTTTTATTCTGCCGAGGAGGTACGCTACAGCTTAATTAATAAGGTTGCAAGTCATGTAGGAATTTGGCTTAGAAGTTGAAACAAATATCAGACGAATTTCGGCCAACAATCGCTACAAATTCCTTGAGTTAGTATTCGATAAATTTGAACGAACCCAGCCCCATCGCTTACTCTCTTCGCGGTATCTGTTTGGGTACTACAAACGGAACCCCTCCCAAGCTATGTCAAGAATGATATGCTTGATGTAGAGAGGCGCATTCAAAGAGTCTCTAGATCATCTACGATCGGCGTCAAATGAAAAATTATGTAAAAACATTCAAGCATTCTTTATTTATTTCCTCCATCATGGAGCGGCGGAGATGGATATTTCCATCTGAGGCCCCATAAAGTAGATATATTCAAAATCAGCATAACCATGTCCGTCTGTTGAAATCACATTATTTAACGAAGAGTTTTGAAATTTGCCAGAATGGTATATAATGTGTCTAGAATATTAAAAAAGTTTGAAATTGGTATTTAGAGTTTACAACGGGTCCTACTGCAAACATTCGCATTTTGACGATTTACGGCACATTTTCTATTAAATTTGTGTCAAATTCAGAGTTTGTAGTTCATAATGTTTTCTACTACAGTTGGCAGAACATTGTCTATATTGGGTTTCCAACAGCCTCAATATATCGGTACCGCTCGATTTTGATTATTCTAGTCATTTTTATCACTGAATTGTTTCAAATTTGGTATTTACGACTCGCAATAGGTAACAATCCTTATGGTAGAAAGTTGCCTACATAGGTTAACCTTTTTGGTACCGAGTCCACATAACAGCACCGCCCATTTGGTGGCATTTTAAAAATCTTTGACTGCATTCTCCAACTGATCTCACTGGAATATGCAGAACTTATTAAAGTTCGGCAGAGCTGAACTTTACATTTTTTATTGTTTTAACTGTCGTGGTCAATTTAAGAAGATACTCTATTAGCACTACTACTGCAGAAAATATTTTAAGCAACACTGCTCTAGATCTAAATACTATCAAGCTAGTCTTAGGTTAGGTTATGTTAAAGGATGCGCGGTTGTATAAACAACCACTCCACTCGGAGACCTACTGGTCCATTGTGATCATCCTAATTTAAGAAGATGGGGGAATAGAATAGCGAGAAGAAGTGAAGAAGCAAGAATCTGAATAAATAGTATAGATTTTAGTAGGTGTGCATCCACGGTGTATCAGCGTGTCGTCCTTAGCCATTTTTGTCTTCTGGCTAACTGAAGAATGACCGCTGGCTCGATGTCGGAGAGGGAGGACAAGACTGGCAGAATTTTCTTACCCAGTAGACTCTGTCTCACTCCTGTAAGAGTTGGGCAGTGGCAGTGTCGTCACCCCCCATTTAGATGTCATGGCCTTTATATTGCAGTGTCCTGTAATTAGGCCCACCACAAGCTTCAAGTCTAGCTTCGTCATGGATATGAGTGACCTTGATTTCCTTTCGAAGTTCACCGGCCAAACCTTTTTGGAAACACTACATCCCCTTCCAGTTAGCCAGTTCTGTTGAAATTTCCCAAGGTAATGCTTATGCAGTACTTGGAAAAAGTGGTTTCACTGAGCTCTCAGTCCCAAGATCTACTGACTCAGATCCGCGTCTGGTCAATTCATCGGCCGATTCATTGCCAGATATGTTTGCAGTGTCAAGCAAGTCTTTGTGGCCCAGTCCATTCTATTGCAGTTAAAGGCTGCGAAGACATATTAGAGTCGTTTTTAGCTAACAGAACAGTGTATTGCTTTTGTTTGTTTTAATACTGTATTTTCAACTAATTTGAAGCACATCTTAAAAATACAGGGCCATAATATAATAAAATATATAATATATATATATGAAAATGTTAACCGCTTTCGGATTTTTTAATTTGGGTTTTATACAAAACAAAAAATAGAAAAAAAATGAAATAAAAAATAGAATTACAACGTCGAATAATTTATTTATAGTAATGACATTAACGATAACGAAACTGATTGTTATAAATGTATTTATTTTTGTAGTTAAAAAAGAAAATTGAAAAAAAAAATAAAGACATTTTTTTCTATAGAGATATTTTTTGTATTTATTCCAGAGAATAAACTAAAGCGTAGTGAGATTAGTTTATAAGGATTTACAAACCATATAAGTAAATGACAAACAGAAAATATATTACATAAATGTGTTTTTAACAACAACAAAAACATTTCGAAATGACAAAAAATACGTAAATTTATGGCATTTTTTGTTTGCTGTATAAATGTGTAAAACAACATGATATATTAATATGAAAAAAAAACAACAAAAATAAGAATATAAATAAAAATATATCATTTCTTATCGATGTTTGTTTGTAAATGAAATACCAGCAACGCCACAGCATAACATTGAGAACAAGGACAGAAGGTCACTGCAATTGACATCCTCTATCACGACTACCATTTAAAAAGGGGGTTTGTCATTCTTAATTTGCAACTCTTACGTATGATTGGCATTTTATACGACATTAGCTGTAATGATGGATGCATTGACCTTCAACCCTTAATGTATTTAAAAACAAGAAGATATATGTAACTATAATAAGAAATATGACTATAAATGACATTTATATATAGACAAATGACATATATAAATACATATATTTAATGTAATGATAAAGAAAACGGTGATGATATGTAAATGATTATATTTTGTTAGTGATGATTACAAACAAAAATAAGCAGAAAAAAAGAAGTCTACACAAATACACTCACACACAACAACACGTAATAATTAAACAAAACTCAACACAACAACAAAAGTACCTTTTTAAAGGTATAAAAACTCAAAATATCAAACGAATATTATTAATAATAATGAAAAAAACAAAAATGAAAAATAAGATTACAGAAAGAAAATATTGTTGAATAAAATTCTATAGTGATGATGGCAAATTAAAAGGAAAATACTTGTTTCATTATATTTTCTTTTGTTAGAGTATTGTTAGAGATCACTGACGTAGCCAGTGTAGGCACAAGGGGGCTCTACTAAATTATACATTTTTCGAGAATTTAGCTTGAAAATCTCTTTTTTTCCTTTTTTCTTCCTTGTGTTCCAAATAATTCCGTTTTCCCTCCCTTTTAAAATTTTTTCAAAAAATACACACCAAATCGGTTTTGAATTTTCATTTCATCGTATATTGTAAAAAATCTAAACACGAATATAAAATAAATAGTACGGCAGTATTCGACACAGACACAACCAAAATAAATAGAAAAATTCACATAAAATATCGGAAATAAAAGGAACTATTGCGGTACTTCCTCTTTGATTAATTTTTTAGCTGGAAAATCGCCAAGGTAATCAAGCCATTCACCAAAGTCCACCTCAGGATATGTTTCCTTTTGTTTGAGAACAACATTTTGAAGACTAATGATGTATTTCAAATCGTTACGATATTTGGCAATTATAGTCTCATCGATACAAATATCGGCCTGTGATATATTCACCTTTGGCTTTGACATACGTACAGCCATTCTCAATTGACTTTCCAGCTTTTTAATGTCTTTGGCAACTTTCTTTAGTACCAAAACTCCATTGCCATTGGTGGGATAACGATGTACCGAATCCGTTGTGGTCGTTAGCGGTGATATCTTATCGTGATCAGTAATGATGTGAAGGAAAGTCTTTGTACCATGCCACTCACAGTATTCACGCAAAGCATCTAAAAGCAAATGTAGGTATTGTTCACGGGATATGTCTTCATCCGGTTTCGAGAGTTCACTTTGCGGTTTGTACTTTAGCCAGCGTTTCTTGGCAATATCAATAGCAATCTTTTGTGGTGTTAATGGTTCGCTGTTGGTAAATAATACATTATCGATGAATTCGTAGCGTACATAGGGTATGCGCAGTAGATGAATGGTTTCAATGTATTTCGATATTTCTTCGCGATTGTGTGCTGTAATGCAGAGATACCAGATTAGAATTTAGAAATCATAAACACTTTTCTGTCCCTACCTTTGAATATTTTGAAAAATTCCTTAATAAGATTCTTAGTTTGTTCTCCAAGGTAAGGGTACTTAACTCCAATTGCTGTGTTTTCCATATCAGCCGTATTACTGGCCACCATTAGCAAAGAAATATAACGCTAACAAGACAAAAAAAAAAAACTTCTTTTAAACATTCCAATTCGCTCATTATTGAAACTCTTACCTCTAATACTTGGAGACGCTCCTTACACAATCCCTTGTTGGCACTATCACTGTAGACACTAAATATTCTCCTTGCCACACGGGTCATTCTTGTGTACTGTGTTAGCTCACACAAGACCACAATCAAAGGACGGTTGTCATTACAAAATATCCATTCCTTGGTTTTCTTAAAGTGGTGCAAAATCCACATGGCCATATCATATTCCAAGATTTCCAAAAGCAGCCGCAGGCACATGAATATCCGTTCAATTTTCTGTTCCATTTGTAATGCAGTAAATGTCTGTTTCTGTCGTTCCCTTTCTTCGTATTCATTTTGATTCCATATATCATTGCAAACACTTAAATCCATGGAATTTTGTGGTGATGTTAGATGGGAAGCTGAACTGGATATAGTTGTGGGCTTTTGTAAAGAATCACTTTTACTGGTGTTTAATTCATCCGGATCAGCTGTTTTTAACACTTCCTCCAGTAAATCCAAAATTATGTCAAATATTTTGTTTGACTTGGAAAGTGGTTCATCTTTTTTTATATTGCCAAGCTTTGATTGATCCAACCCGTATTCCAAAAAGCCGACATAGAAAGTACGCAGTTTGTGCCAGCACGGTGGAAAGGTTCGTACAATCATGGAGAACAGTTCAACAGCTTTGTGATAGGATTGTTGGAATGTGACAATATTCTGTTGTTTTGTACTATAGTTTATGCTCTGAAATCAAGTAGTCGTGAGAGATTATAAAAATGGAAAATTGTAAAACCATAAACTTACCAATACAAGTTCCATTATTTTCATAAAAATTCCTTTTCCGGGAAACTCTCCACGATGTACCATATCAGTGGTGGAATTAATAAAGGACACATAACGGTAGTTATCAAGGGCACTTCGTAAACTACGTGCTTGGGATTGAATGGGGGCCTCAGGCAAATCGGAATGATAATGATGACGATGGCAGTATGTCAGGTCATCGAGACATCTTGGATGAAAATCAAGACGCAAACGTTCTCCAACATTGAGGTAAAGATTAGAAATTACAGTCAATAGCTGCTCCGGCATATTATTGCTAGTTTCTTCTTCGTCTTTAACTTTCACTCCCTGCGATTTTAAAGAGAATCCAGTTGAAACATTTTTCGTTTCTTCTTTAGTTTCAATATTATTCGAAGCACCAGGCTCCGACGACTTTGCTTCTTCCTTCTCTGTTTCCTTTTGCTGTTGCTCTGACTGTTCATCATCTAGCTTTTGTTTTTTAGGTGGACTGATATCTTTATTTGCTTCCACATCATTTGTAGCCGATGTATCCATGGGAGTTGCTTCATCTGCTTTGCATTTTTCTTCGGCTTCAACTGGAGGCTCTATATTTTGATTTTCTTCACAGTTTGCATTTTCGGCAGTTGGATTTTCATTTTCTATATTCTGTGCATTTGCAGATTTGGATTCCTCTTCGTTAGCCATGATGTCTTTATCCTTGAGTTTGGCTTTTCTTGTCTTTCTAACTTCGGTGTTATTTTCTTTCAGCTTGCTTTCAGTTGTTGCCTTTCTGGTAACGCGTTTTGATGTTCTAACTGCTTGGTTATTATTTTCTTTTTCCGGATCCTTATTTCTACCGGATCTTGTTGAGGACAATATGGGCATTATCTATAAGCCTTTAACACATTAATACGTTTTGGATTTTCCCAAGAGTTTTTGTGAAACCTAGAAGGAGTTAAGAAAATAAATTGCTTAAATTGAGTATATATACGGCTGGCGGAAAAGTCTAAATGTTTACCAAATATTAATAAAAAAGAGCTATGCACCGCCAAAGCCCTCAAGAACAAAAACAAATGCTTCTTCTTATAATTTGTACAGAATGATAGGTATTCAATATAAATTAATATCACAATTATGGAGCAAGGGATCTATTGATCGACAGACTTGTTTATTAAAATCGGGCCTCACACGCCACAATTTTTGTTACTTTTGAATGATATGCAAGACTTGTATACTGTCGCATGACCTAAAATGCATATTTGTCTATAAGTCTCGGTCCACAAACGAGTAATATCATCGAGTAAAATAAATTTTCGAAACCGTCAACTAAGTATTTGTTTTTATGTGAAGGAAGTGAGACTTTTTAACAGTTTTATATTTATTTCATTAAATTGTTTTACACAGGTGAAACCATGGCACAATAATAAGGTTTTCTACGAGATGTTCAAAATTAGACTTAAATTTCTTTAGGATTCCACGCTGTTTTAGGCTAATCCTTCAATTAACGCACATTAATGATAAATACACAATTAAATTTACATTTTTAACTTTTTATTCAAAATAATTAGCAAATTTTAACGGTTTCTCAATTGACGAAGCCAATTGCAAACAAAGTGTTGCCATATCATTTTTTTCTTGAAAATCGCCTTTTTCTTCAAAAAAAAAAAAAAAAAAAAAAAAAAAAAAAAATTATTCGTCTGTGAAAACCAAACAATGTGGTATTACGAATAATAAACTGAAGCAAAGAAAAAAAAGAACACTCAAAAAAAGAATTTTGTACAAAAATGTAAATATCTTAAAATTATTTTAATAATTTATTAATAATGAATTAATATTTTGGGGGCAGCCACAGGAATTCGGCGCTAGAAACAATTTTCATATATTTTATGGAGAGCTACTAATGTTGCCATATTTAAACTGAATTCGTTGTTCACCAAATGGTACGGAATTTGAAGAAGCTCAAATAAAAACGAACGATTTTGCATTACGAAATTCAAAGCATTTCGATACGATTTCAAAGCATTTCGATACGATTTTGTGACATGCCTGATAAATAGAAAAAAGTATATGGAGTTATCGACTAATTAACGTATTTATAAGTAATTAATAGTCCTCTTACAGTGATGTTGACGATTCACTATTTTACTAATTTTGCCAATAAAAAGTACGAGAGCACATCACACGAAATCGGATAAAGAGCATGTAAAGTGGCCAATTCTTATGACATTTGACATGCCCATTATTTGTTACTACAGAATCCAAGTCATTTCAAAAAAAAAAAAAAAAAAAAATCACCAAATCCAATTAAAACAGCCAGTACACCTGTCACAATCAGTGTTTGAACGATTTTGACATTTGGTCTTGGTAGAATTCACATTGCCGCAAATATTTGTGGATTTTGTCTGACTAACGAACTGAACAACTCTGTTACAGTTCGTGATTTATGGAGTTTAATTTTGGCAAACATTAAAGTTTCCAAATGAAAAATAAAAACAAACTAAACACAAGCTACAAAAAAAGAGATATGTTTGCCAGCTAAAGGTTAGCAGCGCATTTATTCGCCATGTCACATTCAGACGGACAAGAAAATTTAAATTACCTGTTAATGATTTTTTATCTAGATGTACTCAAAGTAAACATTTAAATGTTGTTCTTATTTTTATTTGATGGTGTTCTTTTTCTTTTTTTATTTGAAAAGCGATTTTAATTCTTTAGAAGAAACGGCAAAGTCTTTTAACCCAAAACATTTTGAACTAAGATGTAAACTAGTTAAAAATGTAGAACATACATACACACATATTCGTATACAAAATTCATTTCAATATAAGTAAAAAAGTCACAAAATTTGAAAACTCAAGAAAACATGAGACAAATAACAAGAGCAATAATGTTAAAACAAACATTTCGCATTGTACAAAATCCCACATGGAGTTTTACACTCGAAATAATGTGAACAGTTGAATTGACGTATGCAGAATTAAGAAAACGAATAAAAATAAAACATCTTTCTTCTAAGGAGCTAAATATGTAATATTAATAAGACACCGATAAATGCTTCTCTAAAAGTAGGCAATTTATATGGCAAATGGTGGCGCCCAAACGCCTTGATTTACTATTTGCAAACCTTAAGGTTAACCATAAGCTTAGCATCCTGTCATGGCACATTCATGTCAAATTCATTCTAAACAGCAGGATTCGAGTGCCGATTTGACATTCTTTTATGAAATTTCACAAAATATGTCAAGCTGTCTTAGAAAACTGTCAGACAGTGAAGAAACTAAAGGCTATATCATACGAAATGTTTTTTACATGTGCAATGTCAAATTTTCCTTAATTAGAAGTTGCACATATCGTGTAATACATGCACGACCTTTCAGTTGTGAAATAAATGAGTAAAGTATATACCACGGTAGAAGAATAAAGGTCGATATATTAACGGTTGAGAACATTGATATGTCAAAAAGTTTTAAATGTTTTTCCAAAAATAAATAGATCTTTTAATATTTTCTAACACGACGGCAGTCGGAGTTTGTTATGATATGCATTTTTTTTTAACAAATTTAACGAATTTAAATAGTTTTTCATTCAAATGTTTCTATTCCAAAATTGGTTTATCGTCCAACAGCTGTGTCGATGCGACTGCCTGTATTCTTCTACCATGGTACAGACGTAATTTTTCGATCATAGCGAGCCATATTTTCTTTTTAAGAAAAAAGAAATAAGAAATTAAATTTACGGTAAAAATTCATCTAAAAAGTATTATCATTTTTTATATGATACACTATAATCACAAAGGTGTGTATGTAGGTGTGTAATAGCAAAAATCAAAAGTGATGTGAAAATTGGCAATTTTGACATACACAAGGACATACACATGGATAATAAAAGTGACAACACATATGTAAAACCCATTCCGTCTGATAGAGCCTTAAGCGAACTAGTTCGTATGTGGAAGTAACATACAACTCTGATTCATGACGTCAGGTAAGGTTTGCTAAAACCACCAATATTTAAAGACATCGTTTGTAAAAATATTAAAATGATTTATAAGAACTTGTAACTCTTCAAGGGCGATACATAGGTTCGAAATCAGGTTTATGATTGGAACTTCTGATTGACTGTGAATTCTGGAGACTCCATAAAAATACAAGGATAGAATTAAGAAGCAACCTCATTTCAAAAAATTCTATCCATTTATTATTTATTTTGTTCAATTTAACTTCATAGAAACCTCATTCCCATCTCTGATTTGTGTATACAGGGTGAGATGGAAAAAACGGCAGCCAACTTCAGACTGCTGTCATTTCTATGCCTCTCGTCCGACAGCTGTTAAAATTATTCTAGTGACAGCTCATTATATTGTTTACAAGCATACAAACGCATTTTGGTGAGAATTTTCCAGAAAAAAAGTTATTCGTGATGGAATTCAAGCGTGATACTGTAAATCCTTTATTTTGCCTGGAAAACCACAAGTGACTATCGTCAGAGAACTCCAGCATTTAAATGTGAATAAATCTTTTTTGTCTTGTTCCATCGCTCGTTACCGTGATACTGGTAGCGTAGCCCGATGTCGAGGAAGTGGACGGAAGAAAACAGCAACAAATGTACAAGAACTTACACCGCAACAGAAAGAAAATAGACTCAAAAGAGCTAAAGAGTTGCTTCGCTTGGCTGAAAGAGGTAAACTGTCGAATTTGCTTTTCTTCGATGTGAAAACATTCGTTGTCCAGCAGTTTGAAAACAAACGAAATGATCGTGTTTGCTTGCCAAAGAGGTCAGCTTAAAATGCGCACCTTCGGTTGGCCACCGGAACTCAAGCGCCGGCCATGGTGATGGTGTATTAATCGACTGTGGCATCAGAATAAATGCCGAATATTGTCGCGTAAATATTCTGGAGGTTGTATTAAAGCCTTGGGCACGCAAACAGTTTGGACGCAGACCTTGTACATTCCAACCTCGCACTCAGCACGCGCCACCCCAGAATGGTTACAAAATGACGTTCCTCGTTTCATTTGCAGCGCACAATGACCACCAAAATCTCCGGATACCGTTGGAATATTGTGTCTGAAGTATTTTGGAGAGCAAGGTTGGCACTAAAATATACCAAAGTGTCGATCACCTCAAGCAAGCACTTCGCCGGGAATGGGCCAACATACCGTAGAGCAACATTCGAGGAGCGTATGATTGGCCGTTGAAGGCCATAATTCGTGCCAAAGGTGACCAATTCGAACAAATCTAAACTTATTCCAAAATTGTATGCTATTTCCGACATTTTTTTGCTTTCGTTCAATAAAATTTAAAAGAAAAATGTAAAAATTATGGCGTTTGACTTTGATGTTTTATGAAAAATAAGTGGATTTTTAACGTGTTTTATACGACGGTTGTAATAATATGAATTTTTCAACAATTTTTACAAATTTTAAAAATTTTTAATTCAACATTTTCAATTCTAAAATCGGTTTCATTGTTCCAGCAGCTGTGTCGATGCGACTACCTGTATTCTTATACCATGACCAGCTGATCTCAACATTGTCAAAATCCATGCAATTGTTAGTTAAACGCATGGTAGAATAATACGGGTCAAACAAATTTTGAAATTGAAAATTTTAAATGAAAAGTTATGTAAATTCGTAAAAAAATGTTCAACAATATGAACATCATTTTTGCCTAATAATAGACAAATTCGTCATTGTACTTAACAAAACGCCAAAGGCGATGACTGAGGTACTTTTTTTGTGGTTAAATATTTTCCATGTTTCCTAAAATTGCAAAATGTAGAATACTTTATGTGTGCATGCTGTTTAGTTTCAACTTGAAAGGAATGATGCCTTTTCCGTGATTTTCTAGCGATTGCTTGACGTGTTTAGAGATTAGGGCCAACATCTAACAACTATACATTCAGGGAAATGATTTGAAAGCTATAAAATTAAATATTTTAAGAACTATTCTTCTGCATTTTCAATTTAATAATCTAAATTCCAAAAATGTATATTTTTGAAATTAACATAATTTATTGAAAATTAATTATTTTGTTTAAATTTTTGGACACATAACTTTGACACTTGTATTACGTACAAAAACAAATTTGTATGTGATTGT